TGCATAAAGTCACCTTTGCAGAGAGAGAAAAGGCAATTTACGGGCATGTGTAGACAAAAAGGGGGCCCTAAATTGAATTCAGTTTAGGGTGAAGTAAACCCCCATGTCATACATGCACCCTGCACTTACCTGTCTCTCCGGCAGTGGGGAGGGGAGAGTGAGATGCCAGCAGGCAGAGTGATCCCTAGGTTGCATGGAGGGGGTGGGGGGAGGGCTGGTGCTTCCCACCGCAGCAGCAGGGCCCCCAATCCCCAGGTGGCACCTGCCCACAGGCACCCAGCTTGGGCAGTCCTGAGGGAAACCGCAGCTGCAGAGGGAAGCACTGGGCCCCCGCACAGCTCAGGTAGGCAGGCAGGCTCTGGGGGGAAACCAGGCTCACTGCTTTTCTTGGGTAGAGCCTGCTTTCCCGGGCTGCTGCCAGGCTACCTGTAGGGCTTCCTGCAGAGCCACGGAGCTGCATGGAGTCCAGTGCTTTGCTCCACGGCTGTAGGGCAGCAAACTAAAACTCCTTGGAGGAGATTTAGTTTGCTGTGCCCCAAGTCATTTAAGGCTCATTATGCCACCGAATTTTCTACAGCAACTGGAATTACTGTGCAATACGCCACTGGGGCATGCAAACACTGACACCATTAAAGTGGTGCAAAAACATTTAGTCTACTTTAAAGTGTTGTGTGCACATGCCCCTTGTTTCACCTAAACGCGGCCTATTATTTTATCATATGTGACGCTACTCCTGATGTCTCTCACCATGAACAATATGTGTTGATATTCCGATTTGTAGTTCACAACAAAGATACTGGTACATTTAACATTAAAGAAAGGTTTTTTGAGTTTATCGACTTTGATTTAAAAAATGGAGAACAGATAGCTGAAATGCTAATTGCTAACTTGAAGCATCATAACATTCCTCTTGATGACTGTAGAGGTCAAGGTTTTGATACCGCTCTAACAGGTCAGGTAAAATAAAAGGTGTTCAGAAAATGAACTTGCTGTGTATTCTCCTTGTGCGTCCCATTCACTAAATCTTGTAGGAGTTAATGCTCTAGAAGCATGTACTGAAACATTAACATTTTTTGGTTGTATGCAGCAACATTTTGTGTTTTTCAGTGCTAGCCTGGTGAGGTGGAAGATTTATAACAGAGAAGATGCACTGCTCACTCGACTCTGTCAGACACACACTGGAGTGCACATGCTGATGCTATCCGTCCACTCACAAAGCATCTTCCAGGTACTCTGGAAGCATTGGAATGTGCTCTTGAATTAAATCTGACACACAAAGCTCAATCACAGCTGGAAGCACTGAAAAAGTACTTCAGCTCATTTTCATGCCTTTTGTTGGCTAGCTTCTGGTACAAAGTTATTTCAAGTATAGATAGCAGAAACAAGATTTTACAAGCCAAGGGAATCTCTCTTGAATCAGGGGCAGCTCTCATTACTGATATAATTGAAGAAGTAAAACAACTTGGAGATCAGTGGCCCAAAATTCTACAGGAAGCATGTCTTGTAGGAGAAAGCATGGGAATTTTGCCACAATTACAAAAAAAGAAAGGCAAGAAGCGGAAAAGATTTCATGATGACACAGCTGAGGAATCATGTTCTACCATCTCTGAAAATGATCCAGAATCTTTATTCAGAAGAAATGTTTTTGATGCAACTTTGGGCAATGTTATCTATGGATTAGAGCACAGATTCAAAGCAACCAATAACATTTGTTTTACATTCCATTCAGTCCTAAAATATGTGACACTAGAGCCTGAGGAACTGGACAAAGCTTCCAAATGTCTACTTCACAGGTATCCTACAGATCTTTCTGAGAATTTTCCTTGTGAAATGTTGCATCTGAAAAAAATCTTCAAATCTACTTTTGGAAAAGAGTAAAAGAGTATGAACTACCCCCACTTATCTTATTAAATGAAATTTACAAAAAACAACTGCAACTAATTTTCAGTGAAGTGTACGTAGCCATACGGATCTTTTGCACACTGCCAGTGACTGTAGCAGAAGCTGAAGTAAGTTTCAGCAAGCTAGCACTCATCAAAAACTGCAGGCGTTCTACTATGGGACAAGAACGGTTAGGCCACCTTGCTATTTTGTCTATCAAGTGTGAACTTGCAAGAAAAATTGACTTTGGGGAGATAATTCATGATTTTGCAATGAAAAAGACCAGAAAAATAAAGCTTTAAAGTGAATTGGTCTGTTTATAAAATGTTTGCAGCCATGTTGGTCCATTAGAACAAAAAAAATCAAAACATCGACTGGATAATACCATTATTAGGACCAACAACCAAAAAGTTACAAAATAGTCAGCAATGTAGAATGTAATTTCAGAATTAAAATAGAAAATTTTATTTCATGATTCATGAAATTTTACGTATGAGGGATTGTGTGTGTGGGAGGGGGCCTGCCTTACAAGTTTGTACTGGACCCAAAGAAATGATGCTTGGGCCCTGTCTGTGAGGTCTGATATAGGGTTTTCTATAAGGGGATGGAGTGTAAAGCCTCAAGCATCATAAATTGGCCCTGTGCCTCAAATGTTTTAGACAGTAGAGTTCAGCAGCCTTTGAGCTGGGTCTGTTCCTTTGAATGGAGTCTTGGGTGGTATTTGCACCTCTCAGTATCCCAGAAGCTGCTACTTTCAGTCTGTCTATAAAAATGTGGATAGCAGCAGGTCCCTTCCTCACAATGGTGTTATAAAAATACATTAGTTAAAGAATGTGATTTGATCAGTGACTAGGGTGAGGAGGTCATCTTTTTACCCAAGACAGACATCTAGCTACTTTTTTTAAGGATTATGCTAACAGTGTCTCAGCTCTGGTTCTGGGATCCTGTGCCATGTTGACACTCATATCACCATCCTGTCCCCACAGGAGGTCACTTGGCAGCTGCATGCAAATGTATTTGTCCCACAGTTGATGTTTGTTCACATGCCTTTGCCAATAATGTTGTCTTTGGTGACTTTCCAGTTGGCACTGCTTTTTTGGTGGAGTACTTGAGTTTGTCCTTACAGGCGTTTCTTCTCCTCCTTTTTTGCCTTTGTTTGACTCAAGCAGAGAGGGAAATGGTTTTAAGGCTGATGATGAATCGGCTGGACTGCTGCCGGTGTGATTGCTGGAATTGGCCACATCAGTATTCCTGGTGCCAAGTGATCAGTGTCAACATAGAAAGCTCATTTTAGTGGGGTTATTTTTTTGCCACCTTTTCAATGCTTGGAGTGTAGTGTCTACTCAGAGAGCACTCGCAGAGTATGGCTCACTGGGTTTCTTGAAGGTCGAAGTCTTTTTTGTGGTGATGTTGGACTGCGTGAGCAGATGATATTTGAGCCAAAAATCACTGGACTCTTGACACTTGAAGGAGAATGTACATTGTGCAAATCACTTATCAAGGATGTGATTCCCTCAATACAGGAGAAGCTTCACTTATACCCATGAGATACATCAATGAAAGGAATTAATTCATTGTAGGTCACTCAGGGATTAAACACTGAAGGTTTGGAATCTGCCATGATGAAGGTGAAAAATATCTTGCCCATCTGTAAAGGGATGTCTCCCATTCTCTCTTTTTGACCTTTTCCTCCCCCCCCCCCCACACACACACTTTGGAATAGCCAAATTGACAGAATTTTAAAAAATGTAGGAGGATTTCTTGATAAGAAAAACTAGTGAGAAGCTCAGTGTAAGAACACGGAGTTAGGTGTTTGTCTGGTTCCATCTCACTGCCCTAGACGGTGAGAGTGATCTGAAAAAGGACCGTGGCTGCGTCGTATCCTTGCACAGGAGGATGAGGAGGTACAATGGGCATGCACAGGCAGGATGGATACTATTAAAAAAAACCCTGATCTCACATTTGAGGTTTATGCAAATCTACCGTATGGTCTATATTGATATGTGCTAAAAAAAAGTCTTCTGCCTTCACTAATTGCAGTATTTGGGTTACTGGATAAAGATGTCAGGAGTGCCAATGCCTTTAATGTTCTGGCTGAGAGAGGTAGGAAACGGGTTTTCCTGGGCTATAGGCAGCCTAGCAGAGCAAAGCTTTATTGGCACTTAAATAGGAAAAAATGAACCCAACTGACAACTGTAATCTAGAACTGTCAGGAAGGAGAAAGGTGGTCTCTCATGGAAGGGTTTGCCCTCTCGTTTCTCCCCCCATGCCCTGCTCCCGGGAGGTGGTGGTGATGGAGTGGACAGAGGAGGGGACAAGGCTAGCAGTGGGGGGAGTGGGGAGTGGGCCTGGCTTGAAAATGGTGGCAGGGAAGGTGGGGGAGGGGCAGGCAGTGTGGGGGTCACACCAGGCCCAACCCAGCCCAGCCTGACCCAGCTCTGCAATGGTGGTGGGGAGGGTGGGGGTGCAGGCCCAGCCCTGAAATGGCAATAGGCAACGTGGAGGGGAGGCGTGCCAGGCTTGGCCCGGTCCAGCCCCACAATGGCGGCCGGGGGGGGCAGGCCCGGCC